TACCTAGGAGAAACTTAATAAAACTAGATCAGGAAAAACTTAACAAAACTAGATCAATCTATATTTGGAAGATTAAAACCAGAGTTCGACTTTCAACAATTAATTACTTACTCTTTGATTTTCAAATGCTTATTCGTGGCACAATCAATGGAATAATCCATTTTTGTAGCAGCCATCGCTTCAGATCTTCCTTTTCTTCCACCTCTCCTCTCCAATCCTCGATCAAACTTGCATTCTCCAGGACTTGGCTGGAAAGTGTTCTTGCCTCTATCATTAGTTCAGGTAGTAGCCATTTCTGGTGCTTCAGTCACCTTTCAATAGCTCCTTTAATTATGTGCGAGGAATTTCCCTCATCGAGTAAAGTCAATCCACATACTCAACAACGTCTCTATCTAAACTATATAATCGAAACACACTAGAATAACTTCAAACACTGGATCTGCAGATCTACGTACATGAGTTTGGTAAAGCATTCACCTGTCGGTTGTACATCGACCTGTCGGGAAACTCGAAACTCTCCCCCGCAAGCGTCCTTCTTAGGTCGGCATTTGGGTCTGTGTTCCGACTGTGCAATATGGTGGAGATACAGTGCTTTCTCCGTAGTCTTCCTATTTGATTGTTGTGGTTGTGAGATTTCATTGCCGCCACCCGCCTGCTGGCGGAGCGAATCGAAGTTCTCTTCCGGTCAACTGTCCACCCAGTCAAGTGCAAAAAAATACAGTAGAATCACGCAAGGCACGTAGCTGGTGTGGCTTGCCCCTTTTCTCCTACTTTCATAGAATATCTGTTTTTGCCACGTTCGACAGTGGATCACGAAATCTTGACGATCTTCTCGATCTCATGAATGAAGAGTTTTAGAAGGAGGATGTCAATTGGCTTCAAAGTCTACGGGTATAAGCTTTCGATGGAAGCGCTAGGCCAATTCCATTACTATTCTTTTTTTTCTTCAATTAAGAGAAGAAAGAATGAAAAAAGAAAACAGCAAGTAAAAAAATAAGAATGCCTTCCCAAGAGATTTGGAAATGAAAATGAAAGAGGAGGGCGTATGAGAGTCGACGGCTTTCCCGCGAGTTGCAACATCCCTTGCTTGTTGCTTTCGAGCTCAAGCCTGGATTTTACATAGAAGAAACAAAGTCCACTTTGGGCCACTAATTTGTTGGATCAATTACTTGAAAACTGATTTGATCATTAGGCCCAAATTAGGCCCAACCTGTCCAAAATCAATTCAAATCCACAAATTTATCCCAAAAAACCATTTTGATTATATATATATTTGGTAGTATTTGTATCATTTTTCAATTTGAAGGAATAAATATGGTCAACCACACTAAGTTTCCTTATCTAATTTGTATATTGTTTTTAGGGGATACAGAAAGAAATGTACTTATTTTTCGATTAAGACTTCATTAAAAAGATCTTTAAAGTACTGCCACTTGGGTTACAATTGACCAGATCAAAGACTCTATCCTCTTTACGAGTCAAGAGAAAAAACTAAAAAATCCAAAACATTGAGTTATCTATGCTAAGAGATTTCTTAGCAAGAAGATGAACAATTTCATTAGATTTTCTACTTTTACGTGCATGCATGAGATAGAAAGGAAAGAGTTTTCAGACATCTAGATAGAAGATAGTGCTCCGAAAATGATATTACTCTTTGTTTCCATACTGAATAATATTTTGGTATTTATGTGATCAGTTACATCACACACGTATCAAATGATTTAACCATCTTTTGTGGAATTTACAGAAGAGAGAGATATTTATGAAAAGATTCTGGTCCATCTCCATAATCTTCCTACAAATACTCCCTTTTAACCTCTAGTCCTCTGTTCTCATGTTACATCAGAAACAGAACCAACAACTTAAGAGGATGAACAAAAGAAAGAAATAATCTTAGAGATCCTTGAGAGACTGGAGAGAGCTCTCATGCTCGAAGTAGAGAGAAAAAAATTCTATTGCAAAGAAATGTACTTAGAGATGTGTTAAAATTAAATGAAGCAATAAATTTCAATCTATTACTCATTAATGTAAACTTATAAAGATTAATTTTTTCATGGATGAAAATACTGATTACTGAACCCTTATGAAAATAATTTAACTTGGTTTTTTAAAATCAAACCTAGAAAAGAAACATTGTGAAAAGTTTTCATTATAAATTACTAAAATGTGATTGAACCATAAATATTAAATACTCAACAATATAGGATCATTGGATAATGTTCTGATCCTTGAAAAATTAGAATCATGAACAAGAAAAAAAAATATACTTTATGTTTTCTAAATTTAAATACAATTTAAAGAGTGCTTCTTAGAAATGAAAAGGGAGAAATAAAAAGGGAATTACTAAGGCTAATTTGATAACAATTTCATTTTTTGTTCATGGGCTCATAATTTACTTAGTACATTTTACATTTTTTTGAAAAGCACATTTTAATTATTATCAAATTAAAAAAAAATAGAAATAAGCTTTTAAAAATTACTTTTTTAAGCTTTCAAATTGTTTAGGTTTAGCATTTTAGAAGAAAACAAGTGAATAGTCGAAGTAGTGTTGATAAGGTTGAGTTTAAAAATTTGGAAATATAAATACTTATAAGAGACGTAAGGTCTCATTTAATAACCATTTTAGTTTTGATTTTCGTTTTTAAAAATTAGGCTAGTAAGCATAACTTTCACCTCTATATTTATTATTTGCATGTACTTTTTAAAGCGGTTTAAAAATCTAAACCAAATTTTGAAAAAATAAATAGTTTCCGAAAATTTGTATTTGTTTTAAAAATTTAAACAAAAAATCAAATGTGTTTAAAAAAAGTTTAAAACATATTAAAGAATTTACTAACAAACCACCGCAATTCTCAAAAATAAAAAAACTAAAAATGAAAGGGTTAAACGAATCTAAATATTTCTGTTTTAGAAAACAGAAAAGGACAAATAGGAACATTATCGATAGGAAGTTTTTTTTTTTTTTTTTTGGGTTAACATCAATAGTAAAGGGTTGATGCCAACTTTTTATTAATGGATGTTGTTGATGCTGGAATTTTGGCCTGCAAAAAATCGAGTAACCCTAAATGGATGATGTTGATGTCTAAGTCAGTTATGAGAGAATAACTAAGCAAGCCATGATATTTACTATGCGTTTTTGCTTATCTTCAATGGTGATTCTCCCCCTATTTATGGTCAATCTTCCCCTCCTAGGGTTTCATTATTCCAACCCTAGGTCATTCACATCGTCAGATTTTTTGGGACGTGAGATGTTTCGTTGCGGGCTCCAACATCATAATAGGATCGAGGTTCTACAAACAACCGTCAATTCAGGACAAGGACCGAGAAAGAAGTCGAGAGGTGTTCTCGACTTCAGTGCCGAGGCGCCGAGGCCTGGTCGGCCTTTAGGTGGGCCGACCCCTAAGTTCTCGGCCGATCCCAATCGGTAGTAATCTTGAGGTTCTTTCTTCTTCTTCTCGGTCCGATTCTCATCCTTGTTTGGACCGTTTCGTTTCCTATAACAGATGACTACCATGTGCTAGCTATATATATTAGAAAAAAAAAAAAGTTCACATTAATCAAATTGTTAATCCAAATGTTCGGAATTATTGAATGGGTAATACAAGAAAGGGGAAAAAAGCAATACCTAACCATATAGGAATGATGTCACGTTTTTATTCCTTCCTTTTTTTCCCATAAACTTAAGGTCCAACCATTCATACATTAACATAATATGGATTGAAATTTTAGAATATAGTTTAAGATTACTTACCCTTTTTTATAAATATTTGACACACCCACGTGGCTCATTTGACTAAGATTTTCTTTTGGGTGAAGAAAATTGTCTAAAATAATGGGGAAGTTTTGAATGTAACATATAATTTATTGACAAACTTCATAATACTACCAACTTAGAGTTCGTCGTGTCATTTTATTAACGATATTTTTAATCATACCATCTAATCTATCATCCAAAATAGTGTAGAATCTATATAATGAATTTAGTTCTATCGCTTAAGGTAAGTGTAGCATATGAGGATGACAAAACATTTGATTTGTTTTTTCTTTTGAATTTCTTTAAGGAAAGAGATTGATTTCAAAGTGATGCAGGATTCTAGACAAGGTGAATAATCGGCTATTGATTCGAGGTGGGATGTACAAGTAGACGAAGTGATGATTTAGAAATATAACCTTGTACCAATGTATGGTATTCAGACGCGTATGCTCTGAAGCTTAAGTTAGTATTTAATTCGAGCTAATGTTGAACCGAACTTAATTAGGTTTTGTAGAAATTGTGTACTTTTTTTAGAAATAGACCCATTTTTATAGGGGAGCCTTAAGAAATGTTGATCCGCCGATTTGGTACTTGTGTTTAGCAAATTTTATACTGATCACATATGAGTTTTCAGGTCGATATCAGACTAGGTTTTTATTGAATCAGTCAGATGTGACTTTACCTGATCCATCTCGCCCTTGACCTATTCGAGTCAAAGCCCAAACAATGTTTTAGGTGAGGGGGGTCACTTGCTGGATGCTACTATTCTACCAGCAACACATCTCTTGTATAAAAGATTTTGTATAATTATTTTTTAAAAGGAATTCACCGTAATAATAATCCCCTTGAGATTTTCTTTCAAAAAAAAAAAAACTCCTTGAGACGATTTTAGATTTTTTTGACAATGATTTTAGAAACATTTAAAATAGTCTCTCCAAAAACAATTTAACTTTGTATTGAAATATTTTGAAATGATAACACTAAAAATAACAAAAGGTTTCCAAATATAATTGCTAGAGAGTTTCCAGTGGGTAGTGGGAATAGACAATATTAAATTATTATAATATTACATATTGATATTGTTTGAGAAATAGAAAATAATATATTAATATTGTGTCCATTGATTAGGTGGTGTTCTTGGATTTAGATTAAAGGACTTCCAGATTCAATTCAATTTTTCTTGGAAATGTGTTCAATCCAAACAATCTTTAATTTGTTCCTTATTTTTTTAACACACAAAATTGCCTTGGGGTAATTATTTATTATTATTATTATTTTATATAAAGAAACAGAAATATATTGATAATAAAAAGCTTATGAAACCCTAATTAATTCTCCATATGTCACCATGGCCATATATATTTTGCTACATAACCGAACATGCATTGGGATTTTCGTCACTGAACATCACAGTGAGCCTCTCGTCGGGTGCCTGTGCGAGCGGGAACGCTTGAGCGGCGTTCTTGACGTAGCCAGCGGGCGCCTTCTTGTCGTAGGCTTGAGCAACGTAAGGGTAAGCAACCAAGTTGTAGGGGACATAAGGCCAAAACTCAGCCCTCTTTCCTGTGCTTTGAACCTTTTTCAAGACCTTGTTTGGCTCAGCATATCCAACCGCTGTTACCTTGCTTTGTTTCCTGTCCACCTCCACTGACTTCACTCCTAATTCATTCATTGATCAAACAAAACAAGATTAAGAAAAATTAAAGCTCAAAGTTTATGTTTTAATTACTAAAAGAGTTGTGGGTAAATATATCTACTATATTACAGATAAATTAATTAAAGCAATTCATGAAAAATTAGTTGTTGTAACCCCATTTGATAACGTTTTTTTTCCTTCCTATTTTTAATTACTAGTCAAAATTATGATTAATTACTAGTCTTCTTCTTTCTTTTTTCTTTAATATACTTTTCATACATACTTGAAATCTCATATAGTCAAATTTTAAAAGTCCATCTAGTTTTCTCTAGTTTAAATTAGTTTAGATTTTCAGTTTGTATCTTGAACTGATGTCTAGCACACATTTAAACTTTTAATTTTGTGTCTAATTGGTGTCCCTAAATTGTCTTTAAATAAAAAAAAAATCACTGATTATTAAATACAAATTAAAATTGAAAGTTGAGGGTCTTTATTAGACAAAAAATTCAAATTTATGTCCAACAGACTCGTTAATTAAAAAAATAAATATTGAATAGTTTAGGGACCTATTAAATCTAAAATTAAAAGTTTAAGTATCTATTAGACTCAAATGAAAGTTCAAAGACTAAACTTACAATTTAACCTATTTTTTAAAAACTTTAAAAATTGCATGGGATAGGGATCAGAGAGATATTTTTTTTAGAACAACATGTGAATGTGAGGATTCGAATGAACGACTTCTTAATCAGAAATATATGATCGAGCTATGCTCAGATTGACCACGATACACAAAAGAAAAAAACAAAAGAAAGAACAAAGATGAGTGGAGAACCTTTAATGGAGGAGACAGCATTTTTAACTTTCCTCTCACACCCATCACAGTCCATCTTCACCTTGATTTCCACTTTCTGGTTTGGCTTTCGTTTCTTCTTTTTTCTTGAACCCAAATTCTGTGTCACGTAATCAACAAAACCCATTTTCTAATTTTGCTTTAATTTTCTCAACTTACAGCTACTGAGAAGGGTGTTTAAATAACCAAAATATTGCAGCAGAAAAACAGAAGCTTTGAGTGCAAGCACTGAATTCTTACTTGCAAAAACTTATTACTAAAAGCTTTTTGACTTTTCGTTTCTGTGTATCCAATCACTGGAAGACACCTCTGGGAAACTTTTCTGAAATAATCTTTGGGGGATTTAATCCCAAATATTAAATAAAATTATCTTTCATTATTCACCTAATTCGTACGACTGTTTGGATACTGTGTCCTGATTTTGTAGCTTTTCATTTCTTTATTTATAATTTATTTGTTTCATCGAATTTAATTAATTGTGTTGATTTGTTGTCTTGCTCTCCCAGTGACTGATTGAATGGGCCGTGTCATCGCTCAATCTAATTTAATTAGTGTCGGCTTCTTTCTAATTAATTATATTTTATACCACTGATTAACTTTGATTAGTCCAAACAAGGAAGAAATAGTATTAACTTTATCCTTCCTGTTTAATTATCTATTGAATAACTTTAAATGAACCCTTCATTGTTGTTTATTTTTTCTAGAATACAGTCGAATGAATATTCGAACTCATAATATTTTAGTCGGAAATATGTTAAAGTTGGCAATGACTTTACTATAATTATTAAAACCCATTAAACCCATTGAGATGATTTTTTTTAGCTCATTAAGAGAGGGTGCAGTGAGTTTTTTTTTTCTTTCTGGAATCGATGTCTATGACTTAGTCTAGTAGATTCCTATCATCGAGGCTTACCTTGCTAAAGATTACTTTACACCTTAATTAATTCAATTATACCCAGGTTGACATTGGGGAATTTTAATCTTCATTAAGCTCAAGGTCACTCTACTATAAACTTGGAGTTGCACTCTTATGCGTAGTAGGACAAGTTGACGTCCATGGAAATACTTGCTACATGTGAGTCAAGTGTTTGTTGTCATTATACTTGGGTCAAAATTTTGTTTTACTCCTGGAATTACATTTTATACCTTAAGTTCCACTAATTCCTTAATGAGCAACTTTTTATGATTCAAGGGTGTGTTTGATTAGTAATTTGAGAAAAAAAATTTGAAATCAAGGGATTAAATAGAAAACAGAGTTGTATTCATTGCTTTCTTTTCAAGTTTTTGTTTGGTTGTAGATTTGGGATTGAATCTCAATTTTAAAAAATTGTTGAATGTGTATTTAGTAATATATTGGTAAACTAGCGGTAGTTATCAACTAAATATTTAGTTCAATTTAAACTAATATCAATTAATTTATTAATATTTTTGTTATAACCTTCGTAGAATTATTATTTTATAATATTATATCATTTATAATATATTATATTTTACAATATTATATAATTTATAATATATTATATGTTACATGTTTTAATTTTTAAACAAATGAAATGAGTTTATAACATTAAATAGCATATTTATCAAATTTTTTTATCTTTTTTAATCTAGCATTTTTTAAGTTTCAAATTTAAAATCTGAAAACATAAAAAACATAAAAAAAATGTTGTTTTCAAAATTTTTACCATTTGGATTACAGAATCCGAAAAACTGTTTTAAAAAATAAATATATCAAATAGATACTCACTAAATTAATTTGATTAAGTGAATCTGAAAATAAACAAACAGAATCTGGATTGCATATCAAATAGACGTTAAGTTTCTTGTGCCAATGAGAGGATCAGACCTCATCACTTAGGTCTAAAAATCAGTACTTAATGCAACTACTCATCTACTTATCTTATATCTTGTGAAATTATTTCCCAAACTCTCTATTTGGTCTTGTCTTGGAAATGATAGGCCTCTTAAAAAAGACTATAAAATTCACTCTCATTCATGCAAATCAAGGGTCTACTCTTGTATACACGGAGTTCATAACTCACTTCAAAATTGCGATTGACATTTTTTTCCTTTCTAATAGGATTTCTTTCTGCGGTCTAATATTTTTAGAAAAATGTCTAATACTCAAATTGTTTGCCAATCTTCTCTTACATAGTAGGTTAAATACGTACCATCAAATAATAACAATTCCTCAATTTTAAGGGTCCGTTTGATAATCATTTTGTTTTTTATTTTTGGTTTTTAGTTTTTCAAAAACAAGGTTGTTTGATAATCAATTCAATTTTCTATTTTTTGTTTAGTTTTAAAAAACAGTGTTGTTTGATAATCAATTCAATTTTCTATTTTTTGTTTTTATGTAAATTTCAAAAAAAAAAGTAGTTTTCAAAAACAGGTTTTTTTTTTTCAAAATCTCATTGTTCTTCTAATACTCAAATTTTTTTTCTTTCTCATATTTATCTCTAAAAAAATTATTTTTCACTATTTTATTTCTAAATTTCTCTCTACAAACTTTATTTTTCTCTCTCTAAAATTTTCATATTTTGAATATTTATTGTTATTTGTCTCCCTCCAAATTTTTATGTTTTTTTTTGTTTTTTCTAACAGACTAATTTCATTTCTCTCTCTAAAAATTTAATATTTTTCCTAACTTTTTTCTCTCTAAAATTTCATATTTTATAACTTTTCTTTCTCTTTGTAATCTATTTTTTCCTCTAAAAATTATATTTTATTTTCTCGTTTAATTTTCTTAAATTTTATTTATCTTTGTATTTATTTATTTTCTATGAAAATTATATTTTGAATCTTGTTTTTATCTCTAACTTTGTTTCCACTATAATTTTTCTCCTTCTTTATATCTTTATTTTTTTTTCCAAAATTTTTCTCTTGTTGTCTTTAACTTTTATTTCACTATTTTTTTCTAAATATTTTTATTTATTTCTCTAAAATTGATCTTCTCTATTTTCATGTCTCTACATTAGGGGAAGACAAAAATTTCGGTGGGATCGGGTCCCAAAAATAGAATGCATGTCCCGACCCCGTCCCCGATTCTATTTTTTAAATAATTAATATATATTTATTACACTTTTTTTATATTTAAATTCTAAAAATAATTAAAAATAATTATAAAACGATAATTTTTCTCGAGAACATCTCTCGGACCCAAGAACAAGGTGGAGACGGAGACTAAAAATTTTCACGAGCCCAAGAATGGGGGAGAGCATCCTCACTCGCACCCACACCATTATCATCTCTAGTCTACATAAAATTTTCTCTCTCTATGTATTTTCAATTTTCTAACTTTTTAAAAATAAAAAACTAAAAATGGTTACCAAAGTTTTTTATTTTTTAAAAACAAAAAACAAAAAATGGTATCAAACATATATGGTTTTTGTTTTTTAAAAACAGAAAACCAAAAACCAAAAACTAAAAACAAGAAAAACTAAAAACCAAAAACTACAATGGTTATCAAACGGGCACTAAATGATATGTTTCTTTATTCTTTGTATTTCTAAAAATTTCTTGTAGGTGCTTAGGTCTTTCATTGTTGTGTAATTTAGTCCATTTACTTTACAAGTTTTTAACAAATCTTGTAACTTTCAATCTCTTCGTAATCTTTTTTATTTCTAATAGTTTATTGTTATTAAGCTTTACATGAATGTGACATGCTAACCATATTATTTAAAGATTATGCTCGACATCAGCACTCATAATTCTTACCTAAAATAAATATAGCTTAATCACCCTTAAATTTATCACCTAAAAAAAAGATAAATAAATAATGAAAATGAGAATAAATAATCGATGCAAAATTGGAACTTTGAAAGCCCAAAAGGCCCAAATATTATTTCAGTTGGAGTAACTGTCCAACGGACCCCATTATTAAATAACAACCAAATATTTCCCGCGAAATTGCTTTCTCCTGATTTCGTCTTCTTCGTTTGTAATTGCAGAGCACGAAGGTTTTGTCCCATGGCCATGGCATCCTCACTCCTCTCTCTCCTCCTCCTTCTCTCTCTCCTCCCTCTCTTCTCCTCCCTTCCTTCTGAAGCCATCCTCGACGCTTCCGAGATCCTCAAGGACTCCTCCTTCTCCTCCATGGCCCTCACTCTCGAGCTCGCTTCCCACTCCCTCCTCCAGCAATCCTCCTCCCTCACCATCTTCGCCGCCACCGACTCCGCCTTCTCCCGCTCCGGCCAGCCCCCCCTCTCCCTCCTCCAGTACCACCTCCTCCCCCACGCCTTCTCCCTCGAAAGCCTCCGCTCTCTACCCTCCGGCGCCAAGATCTCCACCATGCTCCCCGGCCGCTTCCTCACCGTCACCACCTCCCCCTCTCACGCCCGGATTTCCCTCAACAATGTCACCGTCGGCGCCTCCCCGGTCTACGACGATGGATCTCTCGTCATCTTCGGAATCGAGAAGTTCTTCGATCCATTCTTCGAGAGTTCGGCCGTCGATAGCAGGAGGATCGTCAGGCCGGATCTTGAATGCGGCGATTCCTCCTCGATCCAGAGCGATCCGGTCGGGGTTCTGGCGGCGGCGCTCAGAAACAGAGGGTGGTCGGTGATGGCTTCTTTTCTCGATCTGCAGTTTCTAGGGTTCCATAGACAACCGGCGCTGACGGTTCTTGCTCCGACCGACGATTCTTTGATGAATCGCGTGAGTAATTTCACCGATTGGCGCTCGATCTTCCGCCGGCATGTGGTTCCCTGCAAGCTCCGGTGGTCGGATTTGGCGGATTTCCCGGACGGAACTCGGTTGACAACTTATCTGAAGGGGTTCAACATCAATGTGAATCGAAGTGGTGGGGTTTTGATGCTGAACGACATGTCGGTTATCTTTCCAGATATGTTCTACAGTGAGGGGATTGTCGTTCATGGCATCGGGGGGATTCTTGAGATGCAAAATGAAATAAAAAGACGAGCAGAATCTTCTTCTGAAGTGCCATTCAAAACTGGGCCACCTCCAGAATCTGAGAAGGCTGTAGCACATTACCATTTCTCTGTTTTCAGGTCATGAATTGTTTTTGATATTATGATCTTGCTAGGAATTTGTATCTGTTTGATTCTGTTCTAATCTCACTGTATGATAATATGATTCTGGATCAGATTATATGGGAAATTACTGAAATTTCGGTTTCGACTCGAGTTTTGTGCATTTTCTGGGTCTTGGGGCTTGAATTCTTCAGCTTCAATTACATTTCTGTTGCCTTAGGAACCTTACAACAAAATTTAATTGAACTATAAACACTACAACAAAATTTCTAAGTTATATCCAACAAATTGAAATGGAACTCAAACCACATCTTCTGCGAGGGAGTGTGAGGAGTGGGATTTAAACCTCGAGAATTATTTAGATGAGTGAATTTTTCTGTAAAGATTCAGAACATAGAGGAGATATTCTTATGCAGAATCATCGATCAATAACACAGAGTATTACAGGGTTGGAAATGCCAAGTTATTTTTGAGTTCCTTGGCCAGTCAAGTGTATAAAGATCACTCATATCTTCCTATACCTCACCACACTTTTTTTACTTATATTCGCAGCAAGATCCCAAACAACTGGAAACAGAATGTGAACGGATGAATTCGTATCGGGTTCCTTCATTTTCGATAAGTGAGTTGCCATTTCAAGGAATCATCTCTTCCAAACCATAAGTCCGCACCAAAATGAACCATTTAACTGGCTCTGCTAGACTTTGAAGGCCGTATCAAATAGAATGTCAACCGGGCAATGGTGCCTTTCGTAGTTTATCGATCTTCTGTGCCAAAAGTAGAGCAGTATCCTTTCTGCCCTCATCAAGAAGAGCCTGTTTCAGATTTCCAAACATTGCTGCTGGTGGCCGAATACCTACATCAAGCATCTCTAAAAAGTATTTGCAAGCATCCTCTAACTTGTTCTCCAGGCACAAGCTATTAATCAACGTCGAGAACATGTGCATACCCGGAAGAACTCCTTTCGCCTTCATTTGATCCCAAATTCGAATCGCCATATCGACTCGCTCCTCGTTGCAGAACATTCTCACCATAATTTCATAGGTACTCACAGTTGGTTCACACCCAGGCTCATTACTCATTCTCTGGAAAACAGAATAAGCTTCTTTTGATCTCCGGGCCTTTATCAAGTGATGTAATATGATATCATAAGTCCTCGAATTCGGACCGACGCCAGATTTCCTCATGTCATCTACTGTCCTGTATGCATCGGCCATCTTCATCGACCAGCAATAAGCCCCCACAACAGCATTATAAGTCGGCACCTCTGGGGCAAAGCCGCTCAACTTTGATTGTTCAAAAAACTCCAAAGCCTCGCTCAATCTCTTCTCAGAACCCAAACCATTGATTAAGGTACAGAACACATGAGGCGATGGCTTGACGTTCTTTGCTTTCATTTCGTGAAACAACTTGATCGCTTCATCGTACATCCTCGCTCTGCAATGTGCATTGATAACTATACCGAACGTCACAACATCCGGTTCAAACCCATCATCCCTCATCTCCCTATAAACCTCATTCAACCTCAACAAGTTTTGCTCCTGACCCCATCCTTCCAAAAGAATCGTGTATGACTTGATATCAGGCTTGAACCTTCTGTGTTTCATTTTATCAAACACCTCTTGTGCTTTCCCGATGTTCCTCGATTTGCTCAGAGTATCAATAAGTCTGTTGAAATCCCATACTCCCAGTTGGAATCCAAACTTCTCCATCTTCTCAAATGCCTCGATTGCTTCTTTAACCTTTCTAGCTCGCGCATATCTCCGCGAAACTAAACCGAATGTTTCTCTACTTAAAATCCCTCTCCGTTTCATATCATTAACCAAATTCCAAATCACGTTGAATTGTTTGATCTTACCGAGAGATTCGATTAGAGCGTTGTAGCTCTCCGTGGTGTGTTTGAAACCTTTCTGCTTCTCGGCCCACCTGAAGAACGAAAGCGCAAGAAACCCGGCATTGGTAAGCTTCTTCAGCACCTCCACGAGCAGAGCCGGCGACACCTCCTCCACTGAAGCAGCAGTACCATCGAGTAATGATTCGACGCAGGAATTAGGGTTCTTGGACAGCAATTTACAGATTCTTTCAGCATCCTCGGCGATTTTGGAATTCTCGTCGGCGTCCGTATCCAGTTGGGCATGCTCCGTACCGTAACTGCGATTCGGAATTTCTCCATTGGAACGTTCACTGCAAGGAGATGAAATAGAAATGGAAGTTCGATTTGTAGTGGTTGTTTGGGAACGAGAAAGCGATCTCCCTGAACCAGTGAGAAGAGAAGATGACGATAGCGTATGGAACGAAGTTGGTCTTCGAGATAATCTGCGGAGGAAACTGAGGGATCGACGGGAACCCATCGGAAAATCCGCGGCTCCGAATTGAATTCAACAGCTGCTGGTTTACAGTGAGACGAAGAAGAGAGAAGAGAATAGAAAGTGTAAAGAAATGGAAAATTTAAATGGGTAAAGTCTATTTCCAAACATGTGATTTTTTTTAAGGGGCAATTGTTTATAATTAGCATTTGTATTTTTAGATTTAGCAGAAAATTTAAAATTTTATAAAAATGGTATAACTCAAATAAAAAAATAAAAAAATCATAGTTGGTATACTTTTACTTAGTTAATGGGAGCTAGTTTGGTAGATAAAATGTATATTACTTTTTCTAAGGTTGAAAATCAATTTGATCTTCACCCATATTGATTGGTAGGTGATGAAATTTGAACAAGCGTATTAACAATTAACGTGTTGGCCGTTAAAGACGATGACAAAGTTCAGTTGGAAAAAACAATATCAATACGTTACAAGCATGGATAGAAGAAATCCATGGTAACATTGTAGAAGCAAGCTCTTTTCGTCTTTTTAATTATAAATTTAGTTGTCCCTATGCTTACAATACAATTTTGGTTCATTTTAATGTGTGTGTATGTCCGAACCAACTTGCATGTATCTCAACTAATTGATAGGTGGCCACCATGATTTTGATCTCTATATTTTTAAAAGGTAACCGTTTTGATCACTTAATTTTATTTTTAATCTCATTTATTTTTTCTAAATCACACAATTTCAAAATAACACTATACTCAATATATTTTTAAAAGTACGGAAACTAAAATGAACCAAAGGTAAAATACAAGAATCAAAATAAACCAAGGTTGAAAGAAAGTACATGACCAAAATAGTATTTTAACCGAAAATATAATTACATAACTGTAATCCTTGGACATTAGCATCATTAACAAAATGATGTAGTGTCTATTACACAAACATTGAACAATTGAACACGAAGTGACAAGCAAATGACAAAACGTACTAAACAATTTAGTAATATAGAATGAAACATAATTCGAAAAGGAAGATCGTTACATGTGCCATGTGCCATGTGCCACATTATACAAGGTCCTTAAATACTGCCCATAAGATCATAGCTCAACTCGTTAAGGACAAAAGATTCCAAAGATTTTGAATGTCCATCCCATCCTCTATTTGATCTAAAAAAAGAAGTCCTATATTGTCAACTCATTTAGCCCTCTACCTTTCAATATGGCAGGAACAAAATCTCAATTTCTAGAGAGAGAGAGAGAGAGCAAGAGAAATAATCCGGAGTTGAAGAATGAATTATGACTCCAGTCCTTGATAAAGCAATTCAGAGTCAAGCTGCAAATGGTAGAAAACGCAACAAGTAGGGAAAATGCTCCTATTGTTTGAATAAATTGTGAGTGTGAGGCTCTAAAAATAAATACTAGCCTCCATGAAACTACATTATATTCCAAAACCTCAACAATATGCCTCTTGTTTCCTCATCATCTCTAACCTGTTATGAACATTAACTAAACCCCCCCAAAAATCAAATATTATCATCCGTGTAACGAAACGACGTATCGATTTACCTCGCAGGCTTTCTCAAAATGATGAACCTTACTTGCAAGTGCATCAAGCCTCGGGTCAGACCTTTCCTGATTTGCGTCGCCTTTCATTGGCATTGGTTTGATTGTCCGTTCCAGTCATCGATAAGGTTCTTCATGGACTCTTCAAACTTCTTAGCTTGAGATCCAGGCTTCACGATGTTGACATCGCTCCATTGGGAGCAGGGATCCAGCCACCAGCTCTTCCGACCTGAGCACCATGCTCCAGGAAGAAGTCGATTGCGTCCCCGCTTCAAGAGTTTCTCATCAACCATGTCCAACACAGAGTCATCTTTACGGACCTTTCGAGCAAATGCAGCACCGCTTTCAGCCATGAGATCGAAATTCGATATGTTGAGGAAAAGGGGTTCCATCTTTGGAGGGTTGTCCCAGATCATAAATCTTAGATCACTATTAACAGTTTTGTTCTTGAACTCATTTGAATTGCATATGACAGTGTGAAAGTATCCTTCTTGCGACAAGATGATGTTGTTAAAATACATAAGAAGCGTCCGGGGAAGGTTATCCCAACCGAGAACACAGAATTCAAGAAACGATCGACTCAGGATGACCCAAGGGGAACCTGAAAACCCGTCGGAGATAAGATCTTAGGTACAATATCCTTCAGCAACCATTTTAAATTGAGAAGAAAACCAGACAAGTAGAATGCTGATAGCTATATAAAGAATACATAACAAGCGAAACTCGAAAGAAGAAAGGGGAAAATCAGCGTAACCTGTAAATATCTTGAAAGCATCGGGTGTCGGCCGCTTCTCAGTGGCATGAAATATTTGAGTCCTCCTGGCCAAGTATAACCCTGGATCAACTACAATTGGCCGGACCCTTTGAGATCTGCATTACCAAAAATTGACTATGCTATACTTTAATTCAACTATGATACGGTATAATGCAGAGTGGTATTTGCTTACTCTTTCCACCCGAGGTTGCTTGTGTGATCAAGAAAATTTAGATCTCTTCTGACAGAGGAAAAGACGTGCGACAGATCTGAAAGCACATATAAAAACAAATCATTACTAAATTATAACGCCAACACAAAAATCAGAGAAATTACTACCCCAGGTATTGCCATTCATAAGATCTAAGAGAGGCAGATATGATAGAACAAATACCAGACAAGAACGCTAGAGAGGTGCAAAAAAGACATTATCTACTCTTTTTCCTATATCTAAAATCTCAAACCATAAGTCTTCTCCTTCAACTTTATTATTTTATCATTTTTTAACAATACTGCTGAGGTTTCCTCCTTAGAAGTGCTTTTCTTATTGGATAGCCTCGAGCTGCTGGACCAGTGCATATATATAGTTTGACTAACCTCACGAGACAACCCCTTAACCCTACAAACTTTGATATCGAAGAAACTCGAAAGACATTTATATTCTACGTAGATGACCACTATTGGTTCGAATGTATGACCAAACCATAGATAATACATAGACACTACCTTGCACCATTTGGCATTTACTACTAGAACAACCCATAGTAGTTCATCTATTTGAAAGTTCAGGTTAAATAATGATCAAAATTCATCTTCTAATAGCAAGTATATTTCTATGGGGAACCCATACGAAAAAAAGACTTCAAACTTGGCAAGAAGTTATTATTGCCTTCTTAAAGAAAATGTTCCTGGTTTTAATCTAAGAGGAACCCGATTTGTGATTAGACAAAGCTTTAATTACAAGAAGAATAGATAAGGCAAAACTTCAGCAGCAAGCAGTGCAAAAAAGAAGAGTCAAGAAAACAGAAGACCCAAAACTTCATAATATATCCCCAACTGCTAAGATTTAAAAGAAAAAGAAGCACATTTTCAAACTCCACTGTAGTAAAGCCCAATGCAAGGTAATGAAGAGAATATTAAGTCAGTTGATACGGGTTGTCATGGCAATGTTCGAATGTTCTACCAGAACGTTTAGCCCAAGTTTAGAATATCAGTCAAACATTATAAGAACAGCGAGCAAAAACATCAATTCAAATTAAAGCCAATTCATCAGTTTCTTCATACACAGAAGTTGATAGTGTCCATAATTGTTATCTTTTTTCCTTTTTTTTTTTTTTTTGAGAGGAAACAGAGACATTTCATTGATGAATAAAATAATATGAAAGGGGTAGCCAAAATGGAGTTGCAAAAAAGTCATTCATTTGGCCAAAAGTATAGAGAGGCTAAAATGGGTGGTTACATTTACACCAGAAAAGAGCCATAAGGAGAACAGGATCCAAAAAGGAGTCTGGAGTCATAAGTTTCGTGGTGTCTTTGAAGGAATTGTTTCTTTCCTGCCATAATTCCCATATGAAAGCCCTCACAAGTGAAGCCACAAAGTTTATCTATTACCTTTGAAAGGGTGCCCCGTGAGAATGGAAGAGATAAAGTCATGAATAATGGATGGGACTACTGTCTACAATCTCTAGCAGAGTAATTCTAGAGAACCTACGCAACTTATGGCAACTTCACGAATCAAATGCACAACATAAATAAAGATTCAAGTATTAAAAATTGAACATTTTTCTCTGTTTAAATTGAACCAATGGAGACATTCTACATTACTTGATCACGTAAATAAAATTGGTTTCCTAAGACCGTCCACAAGTCCTCCACTACGCACTATGCACATTAGAGTTTCACTGAACTCGAGCTCGCAGTAAAAAATTCTAAAAACCTTCTCAGTGCAAAATCTTTGTCCTGTCCTAAAAAGATGGCCACAAAGACGAAATGAGAATTACGAGCTTGTGCGAATTGGGGAAAACTCACTACCACCTGAGGTATGGCGGCTTGTGCTGTCCCTCCAAAAAATGAAAAACAAAATACTACTTTCCTTCATCAATTAAACCTTACTAAGTTTCCTCCATTGTCTGGAATCATTAAGAAGTTAAAAAAGCATTTGAGAGCTCTTTAAGGCTACTCTAATCCAAGCTATCATAAAGTTCCAAGGACTTGGTTCACTCATATTTTGGGAAATGCAACAACAAAAATCCAGAGTATCCATCCAATAATCATAACCTAAAAACTGAACAATAAAGCACCATACGAACTCCAATTGGCTAGGCCAATAATAACAACCCAACTAACTCTGTTCGTTACAGGTTAAGAAATCACAATACGGGAAACTCACAACGCTTTCAACGATAAAATATTCCCACATTTACGTCCCCTGAGCGAAGAAGAGGCAAACAAATAGCATAGAACAGTAATTCATAAGCTAAAAAAAGGATGTCAAGAACTACTCCATTTCTCCAATTGGCATATGACATTAAATGCAACAAAAAGAATTACCCAATTGGCATTACCATCCTGACTGATAAGCGGGTAATCCGAGGCACTCAAAGTAATAAACCAATCCCAACCACTCTCAATTCTGAGAAGAATCGCCGCAGCATGAAGAATCGTGGCAATATTAGACGACCCCATGTAGCTGATTCGATCGGGCTTTCCAACAACATCAACATTCTCGAAGGCACGAATCGCCGGCACCGACTTCACCGCCACGGCCAGCTGCAGCCGCTCGTCATTGGAAGCATCCGCCGCGAGATGGAGAAGATACCGGTTTCTTGGGTGGTACACGGCGAGCAACAGCCTGAAGATTCGGTCCTTATCGCCGCGGCCGCCAGTAATGTAGTAGGCGAACGCCGGAGGATACGGAGCTCCGTGGTGGACTACAGAGGGTATGGATCGCGGAGAACTGAAGGCGGAGATGGAAGAGAATAAGAGGAGGAGAAGGGAAAGGAAAACAGCGGAGAAGAGAGTGAAGAGCCATTTCTTCTCTGCTCCCATGACACTGATCCTCCTTTTCTAGTTCTTTTCACCCTCTGGCGATGGGAATTGAAGCGCTGTGATGATGATTCTTCAGCCGGGTGGGGCATATGGGTAACCGTCGATTCCACAATTAGGTTTTGGGAAATTGGGTCAAGCTTAGATCTTCGTTTCTCCGGCAAGAGCTGTTTATCGTGGACGATCCCCAAAACAAAGATCTGGGATTCCAAAAAACACAGTAAAAAGATCGGAAAACTGTGAAATCCACATTCCCCTCTTGTAATTTCACTCTGTTTCTCCCTCCGACTGAGAAATCAAATCCACCCTCCTCCCTCTATTGCTCCTCTTCCTTACAAACCTGTTGGGAAATCGCTAGGGTTAGGGTTTTCAGATCAGATTTGTTTTGTTCGCGATTTGATGAAGAAAATGAAGAAATCGGAGCTTCAGCTTTAACAGGGAAATGGGTTTTTCCGTTTGCCTAGTGCCTACCTTCCCTCTGCCAAAGTTTTCATTTTTCTGCCATTAATCTTCGACGAGATGAAAAAAAAAATCAATCTCACGCGCCTTGAGCGCGACTGAGGTAGAAATTTCATATAATGTGATGCTGATATATATTAATATGAGTTGATTTAAGAATTTAATAAAATGGGAAGACATTTTTCTTGAAGATTTCAAGAATGTATTTGTTGTTTTATGTAACAATTGGGCAATTGCAATTGCATGGTAGTTTAGTTGGTACTTGGTAGATTCTTGGGAAGTTCATCCCAAGGGCAAAAGTGTAAAATTCTGTTCTTTTTTCATTTTTTAAAATGTGTGTGAATTGGGAAAAGACTAGTTTAACCTTATGGTGTTGGAGTTTTGTTTTGGGATAAAAATACACATTTATTTCATGTTATGAAAATCCATGTTAGAAAATGACAATTACAAGATTATGATAAGATAGTTCAGTAGAGACGGCAAAATTTTAAGTTCTAATTATTTGACTCCTCGGTTATGAAAAATTATCAATATATAAGCATCTGTTTAATTGGTAATCTAGAAATAAAAATTTACCCATTTTATTGTTTTCGAATATTTTCTGTTTTTCAAATTTATGTTTGATAGTATATTTGAAAATTGAATATTAATTTATGTTCAGTTGAATCTAAAATAATATTAATTAATTAATATTTTTATTATAAACTTTGTAGAATTATTATTTTACAATAGTATATAATTTATAATATATTATATTTTAAATTGAAGATAGGAAAACACTAGAAAATTTTGAGAATTCTTAATATTTGAATCACATGATCCAAAAACTATTTTCGAAAACCAATATGTCTAACACCAAATCCATTTGATTCAATGAATTTGAAAACAAAAACTAGAATTCATATATATTGCATTAGATTTCAATAGTTACATAGTTCTATACTCGTCGTGATACCCTTTACAACCTTATGCATTACCTCATTAGTGAATAGTGATGACTTGTTTGGACAAGTTTTCCCATAAGGTTTGTTTGCAACCTCTCCATACTACTGAGCAATCTATGTCTAACAATTACTCGATTGGCATCTCGAACAAATCAAACAACAATAATACCACACAGAGAATTACACCTCCAACCACACCTCTCGAAAATGAAAAATTCTGACGAAAAAAGTAGGAGTAGTTAATAATACTTTTATACAACAATAATACCCAAATGAATCATCTAATAACAATTAGAGTTGCTAGAAGAAATTAGAGACACCACACCATGTTTCAGCCCCTAATTTCAAAAGAAAATGTCACACTAGAGGACAAGTTGTTGAAAGATCAATATTTTCATCTCACAAGGTATTGAATATCTTTTGGGAAAACACCCCCACATATGGAATGATAAACAGAACCAATGAATAAATATGAAACTGTGAAAAAATAAAATAAAACAGAGAGATGTATTTATTTGTAGGAAGAAGGGAGCTTTTAACATCTAGCAAACAAGATCTCAAAGTTTGCTCAACATATTGAAACTCTAAATTCATTCTACTTGACCTTTTCTCCCATGTAGAATTTGTTGTGAATATGCTAGGCATCAAATAATTGTCCATGAAATTAAACAAGAAACATAAAAATTTGAAATTTAAAAATTAGAAATGAAAATTAGAAAGATATAAATCAAATTAAAAAATGTCCCTAAAATTTTTTTATTCTTAATTCTCTTCATCTCTTCTCTTCATAACCTCATCGTTGGGCCAAAAGTCTAAAGGTCGACCTAAGTTCAATTGAGGCTCTGTTCAAACTTGACTGTATAACGTTTGATCGGTCTTGCCTAACCTATCTCATCAATAAATTAAATTGAATATAGATTTTTTGTTTTTTAAATTGGACAAGTGCAAAAGCCCAATGTTATATTGTATATAGTATATTATATTTGTTAATATATAATTAATTGTATTTACTATGATTCTTTATTGTCTTTCTCATTCCTCATTTTATTAAATTTTTGAAAATTAATATAGTAAAAGAAATATAAATATAATAATTAAAAATGATTTATTGCATGGGTCAAATCAATCCAAATAATTAATCAAAGTCTGATCCAACTTTATTTCATTGAATAAGCCTATGGATTTTTCTATAAGCCTGGTTTAGTAGTGAGGCTAGCCTAAATCTAATCCAAACAGTACTAAGGTTTGAGCC